GCAACGGCCACTTCAAGGCGCCCCCGTCCGCGCGGCTTCTGAGCAGCGAGGGATTCGGGCGCATCGAGGTTGAGCTGCCGCCCGGAGTCCACCCCTCGCCCGACGAGGGGCGCCGCCTGCTGGACGCCTTCACCGCGTGCGTGACCACGACCGACGTCAAGGACTGCTTCTACAGGATGCGTGTTCGCGAGGACCCGGGCCGCTACTTCTGCCTGCCGGCCGTCCCTAGACGCGCGCTCGAGGGGCTGTCAGTTTCCGGCCCCCCTGCAGGGGCTGCTCTGGACACGCCGGCGCGGCCTTACCTGGCTGCCCTGCCAATGGGCTCCACGTGGCCCCTGTACCTGACCCAGGCCGCCAACGAGGACAGGGTCTGCCGGAGCCTCAGCCTCCAGGAGGCGGTGCCAGCCGACAGAGGGCAGCCCTAGATACAGGACCAGGCGGAGGCCTTCGCGCTGCGCGCCTCAGCCCGCGGCGTCGGCGGGGCCTACGTCTACGTGGACAACCTGGGCGCGGTCAGCGACGACGCCTCCCTCAGCGACGGGATGGTGTCCGAGTGGAGCGACCTGTTCGAGCTGGTCGACCTGGCCCTTCACAAGTCGGAGTCCCACAGCGGCGCGGGCGAGGCCCTTGGCACGGAGCTGGATGGGGTCCGTCTCCGTTCTGGCGTGACCTCGGCCCGTTTCTGGATGCTCGAGCGAGGGCTGACTGGACAGCTGGCTCGGGGTCGCTGCAGCGGCCGAGCCCTTGAAAAAGCGGTCGGGCATTACAACTTCTGTGGCTTGGCGGCTCGTGAGTCCCTCTCGATTTTTCACACCGTCTATCAATTTATATAAACGCAGCTTCTCGACGTGGGCCCAATGTGGCCCGAGGTGGTCGAGGAGCTCCGGGCCTTTCGTGGAATCTTCTTGCTTTTGGGCCGGGACTGGTGGATCCCCTGGAACCCGCGCGTCATGGAGACCGACGCCAGCCTGGCGGGCTGGGCGATGGCCCAAAGTTTGGAACACTCCTCAGGTGGCCCGCGCAGGCCGTGTCTCCGAGCGCTCTCGTTTCAAACGCGCTGGCCCCCACTCGGCCCGTGAATCCGCACTCGCATCCGCCCACCTTCCGCGACGAGGCTGGCGAGTGGAGAAGCCAGCTGCTAGGGGACGCGCGTAGCCTTGACGACTGGGAGGTCGCGGCGGATTTTCCCGAGGTCCCCTGGCAGCTCCTCCGCGGCTCCGCGTGGAAGACCGTCTGGAAGGGGGTCCGGGCTGTAGAGGAGGGCATCTTTAGTGCTGGAGGCCCGGGCCCCGGTAAAGGCCATTCGCAGGCTCGCTCGAACTAGACACGGCGCGCGCATCAGACAGCTCCTCTCGCGCGATAGCATGGCGGTGGTTCTCGCTTTCGCCCGCTCGAGGAGTCGCGACTTTAAGTTGTTGGTTCAGATCCGCTGTTTCAACGCGCACGCCCTCCATCTCGGCATCTCTTCTCATTGCAGGTGGATTCCTTCGGAGTTTAACCAGAGCGATGCCGGGGGCCGTGATCATTCCGAAGTCTCGTCTAAATGATTAACCGATGTCCTGGATCAGCAGGTTTGGCACAGTGCTTCAGCCACCTCGCCCCCCCTCCGTAGCCGTTTTGGCTCAAACGATCAGTTAGCTCGCCTCGCCAGCATCCCCGAGGAACCCTCTGCCCCCGATGCGGGCTCGGGTGTTGCGGCCCCCGCGGCCGCCGGCGAAGGCGGGCCCTCTGGTGCCCGCTCGGCCCCTGTCGACCAGGCGCTGGCCCGGCCGCGCGCCCGAAGCCGCTGCTGGCCGCGAAGGCGAAGGCAAGGAGCCTCGGGAGACCGGGCCCGCCCCTGCCGAAGGCGAGGAGCGCCCGGGCTCAGGACAGCTGCCCTGCGGGACCGCCGATGCCTCTCCTGCCGACGCTCGGGGACCTCGCGCCCGGGGCTTCCGCCGGCGACGACGCGGCGGACGACGAGGGCGGGTTCGACACGAGCGGCTCCGACAGCGCGGCGAACCACGCGGGCGCGGCCCAGCGGAGGGCTCGCTGCCTCCAGGACTCCCGGCGCCGGCGCCGAGCAAGGCTCTGTGCGGACATGATCACGCAGAGCATCCTGGTGGGAGGCGCGCCTGGCTGTGACACGCCGCACGAGAGGCCGGCATGCCAAGTACCTCGATCGTTTTTACTCGCACGCAGGCCTGACCGACGAGAAGCTGTCGAAGGCCAAGGACGAGCACGTGGACTGCCTCCTCTGCGACTACTTTACCGCGATGTACTTGGAGGGGGAGCAGAGCAGCCTCGGGGACCAGACCTGGGCCGCGCTTGTGGACAGGCACCCGGCCTTTGGCCGCCGGGGAGGCCGGGCGCTGCCGCGCACCTGGCGGGCTCTGAAGGCCTGGAGGCGGCTGACTCCGCCCCGTACCCGCCGGGCCTTGCCCCTCGCAGTCTGGGCGGCCGTGATGCGGCGCCTGGTGGGCAAGGGGCTGCTGCTCATCGCCCTGTTCCTGGCGGTCGGCCTCTCAGCTTATTCGCGGCCCTTTTCCCTTCTGGCAGCCTGGAAGTGCGACCTGGCCCCTCCGCCGCGCGTGACCGTGGACAGCTGGGGCCTTCTCGCGCACCAGGAGGAGGAGGGCAGACCGAGCAAGACGAACCGCTACGACGAGTGCTGCCTGCTGGACTCGAGCTACCTGCGAGGTCTGGGCCCTCTCTTCGCCCACCTGCGGGAAACCGGGGGAACGGCAAAGCTGTGGCCGTTCAACTACCAGGAGCTATCGGCGGCCGCGGCGCTGGCCGCGGCCGAGGTCGGCGCCGGAAAGCTCACGCTCTACCAGCTGCGTCACTCCGGCACGAGCATCGACGTGAGCCGCCGCGCCCGCGCGCTCGAGGAGGCCCGGCGCCGCGGGCGCTGGGCCCAGGCAAGGAGCACGCATCGGCACGCGCACGAGCGCTACCCCTCCGACCAGAGGCGGCTGCACGAGGCCTGCGAGGCGCACCTCATGCAGATCATGCTGGGCCTCGCCCATCCGGTCCGCTTCCAGCAGGAGATGCTGACCTGGCAGTCTCGCGCCTCGGGCTGAGGCGCACGTTCCGCGGCTGCTGGGATAAGCGGCTCGCGGCCCAGCGCTTCGCTCTGAAGGGGCGCTACGTGGCGGACCTTCGCCGGCAGCAGATGCATCTCGAAGGCCGGGGAGAGGCTCGGGCTCAGTGCTCGTAGCTGGGACAAGGCTCATGACCTGGTGTGGCAGGACCTCACCGATCCGAAAGTGCTTGCTGCCATCAGACGCGAGGCCCGGCGCGGCTTCATCCTGGCGGCCGCCCTGGATCCATTGTGCCAAACGTTTTCCATCGCGCGCGACCGCACATCGAAGATCCGCTCCCAGGAGAAGCCGCGGGGCTTGCCTAGGCAGCTGCTGAGCGGACCCGACGTGGATAAGGTCAAAGAATGAAACCAGATCGGCAGAGCTGCCATAGGCCTGTTTGCCTTGTTTCACCAGCTCAGGATTCCAGCAGTTCTGGAGCACACGCACATGTCTCGGTTGTGGCACACTCGCGAAATCCAAGCCCTTGCCGACCTTCCAAAGGTCCACCTTGTTGAGTTGGATATATGCCAATTTAGAGCCTCTTGCAAAAAAAAGCCGACTAGGCTGATGTTTTGCCATGTTGAAGCTGATGATATCAGAGACCTGTGTAGAAAATGCCGTGGCCGGAACGGTGTTTGCTCGCGCACAGGCCTTCCCCACTTTCAGCTTCAGATCCAGGTCCCTGCTATGTGAAAAAAAGAGTTGCTCTATATGTTCTTGAACGGTTTGAACTTGGGCTCTTGGAATTCGGTGATGTAATCAATACCTGCTAAACGACCCAAGGAAGTTTAAACATCGGCTTTCCCGCTCTCACCTGCCCCCTCTCCCCCTCTCCCCATTGCTTGTCTTCGGCTCCCACCATCCCACCCTGGGAGGAGTGAGAGAGCGCGCAAAGACTTTAACCTCTGGCTAAGACGTTTCGAGGCTTTCGTCAGGTTTCACGTCCCTGCTAAGAGAAAAATGAGTTGCTATGATGATGTTGTGGGATGATGATGATGGTGAGAATGATGGTGATGATGTTGATGCTGGTGCTGATGCTCATTGTGGTGATGATGATGCTGCTGGTGATGATGATAGTGATGGTGATGATGGTGGTGATGGTGGTGATGACGATGATGATGAGGAAAAGGAGGAGGATTATGATGGTGGTCATGATGCTGATGAGGTTGATGATGATGGCGGTGGTGGTGATGGGGTGGAGGAGGAGGAGGAGGAGGACGAGGAGGAGGCCGAGGAGAAGCAGCAGCAGCAGCAGGTGTCAGGTATGTTCAAGAATGTATTCAGCTGATTTGAATGGGGTACACGGGGGTAAGAAGGCCTCCGTACCCCCATGTGGCTCCGAGACACGATCGGGGCTGGCGCGACGGCCCCAGTTGTCGATGGTGTTCGGCGGCCTCCCAGCAGCTTGCTGAGCAGACCAAAGGTCCCTGGAGGTTAGGGCCCAAAATCCTCTCGAGCCCCTCCTGGGGTCCCGTTCTTCGTCCCGGATTGTTCCTTTTCGGCCGCGGGGCCGAAAACGGCCCCCCGGCGGCCGCGCTGGCGTGCAGCAAGGCCTTCGAGGGTGCACGTTGCTGCTCCCATAAGGGCCGTGGTGCACGTGGAGGTGCCTCCTCCGCCCCGTTTTCTTCCCATCCGTTGTCGTCGTCGCCCCCCTCTGCGTGTCGCTGAAGACTGCTTTTTGCCAGAAGGGGTGGCCCTCGCGCCACGATTGCGGAGCTCTAGGCCTGGAGCCCGACCGCCCGGCCCCTGAGATCCGACGTCACGAAAGAGATGCAACATAGCGAAAGATCACGACCGGGGTCCTAGACCTCACCTTCCTGCGGCATGTTTCGAGCCGGATCGAGCTGTGATGGTCCTGGGGCCCGAAGCCGGGCGAAGACGCCCGGTGCGCCAAAAAGAATCCAACGCCCAGATCTCAGGGCGCGGAGCCGCGAGGCCCCCGCCGCCCTGGAGCCGCCCCAGCCGCCGCAGCAGCAGCGGCGCCGCCCCGCGCCGCCGCCCGCTGCCGCGGGCCCCCCGGACGTCGGGCAGGCCGCCAAGAGGCCCTCGGCGCCCGACCCTGCCGTGCGCAGGCGCGCCACGGCCGGCCGACGCAGATGGGCGGCCGGCGGATCGGCGCCGCCGCCGCAGCTTCGGCGGGGTCGGCGCGGCGCGCGGGCGCTGCACTTTCGTCACGCCAGGCGTCTTCGCCCGACTTCGGGCCCTGGGGCCGTCGCAGGTCGATCCAGCTCGAGGCATGCCGCCGGAAGATGGGGTCCAGGGCTCCAGTTGTGATTTCGCACGGTGTTGCTATTGTTTGTGGCGTCGGATCACAGGGCGCTTCCCTTCCTCCCCCGCCTCCTCCTCTCCTGCCTCCCCCGCCTCCCCAGCCTCCCGCCTCCCACTTCCAGCCTCGCCCCCGCCCTCTTCCCCTCGTCCACCTCCCGTTTCGCGAGTCGTTTCGATGCAGGAGCATTGCTCAGTAGCTCTGCCGTCGAGTCCACTTCCGCCACGGGGCGCTGCTTCATTCCCCGGACAATGCCTGCACTGGGCCCCATGGCGCCGTCAAAGAGCGGCTCGGGACGAGGAGCTGTCCCTAGGGCACGGGCATCGGATGCCCGGGTCTCCCGCCCACGCAGGGATGGGCCAGCCTTTTTCGTCTTCCCTGGTTCGTTGACTGCCGGGATGCCGCGTCCGCCGCCCACGCCCCTTGGGCGCGCCCTGGCCAGGACCTCGAGGGGAACCTGGCCGCGGCGACCCCCAGAAAGCCCGAACTGCCTCCCTCACTCTATCCCTTCTCCTCCCTCCCTCAGGGGCAACGTTAGGGGGGGGGGGGGGGATACGCTCAGGGGGGTACGCATCGACCCCCTTTCGCCCATTCATCGACGATAGGGGCCTGATAGCCCTCCGCCCAGGAGCTTGCGGACTCGCTACCCGGGGCCTATCGCCGATTCATCGGCGATGCATCGCCAATTCCCGGTCGACGTATCCCCCCTGAGCTGTCCCCCCCCCTCCAACGCTGCCCCTCCATCCTTCCCTCCAGGTCGATACATCCCCCCTGAGTAGGGCCCCCCCTCCAACGTCACCCCGCCCTCCCTCCCCTCCTCCCTCCCGCCCCCCCTCCGACGCAGGCGCCCCCAGGCCAGCAGGAAGGCCCCGCCGAAGCGCCTCGTCAGCCTGCCATCTAGCCGCCTCGCCGCCGAGCCCCGCCGCCGAGACGTCGGCGGGAGAGGAGGAGGGACGACGGGGGGAGGGGCCGGCAGGGAGACGACGGAGGGGCGGGACGGGAGACGAGGGAAGGGGGCAAGAGGAGGAGGAGGAGGAAGAGGAGGAGGAGGAGGAGGAGGAGGAGAAGAAGAAGAAGAAGCAGAGGGCACACTGGGTGCACACTTCGACTGCGGCTGGGGAGGAATCCCGCGCGCTGGCGGCAGCAGTGCAGGCCGAACTGGCGCCGCGCACGGCCGGGACTGGAGAAGCTGCGGGCGAGCATCCCGCCAGAGGAGCACGGAGACGACGCTGGCGCGCCGCCGCGCCCTGCTCCGCCCTGCGCGCCGCCCAGCGCCGAGTTCAGAGAGGAGGTCGAGGAGGAGGTGCGCAAACTACTGCGGCGCCCTCCCTTGCTGGCGACGCGGGGCCTGCTGGGGACGCGCCTGGAGCACCTGGGGGCGAGCGACGGCGAGACGGCGCGACTGCTCGCCCGGGCTGCCGCGAGGGTCTCCTTGGGGAGCTGCCGCGGGAGGTCCTCCAGGCGCTGCGCGCGGGGGAGCTCATGGCGCTCGCGAAGGGCGTCGGCGAGGTGAGACCCCTGCTGGTGAGCGCCACGCTCCGCCGCCCGGCTGCGCGCCTTGGCGCGGGCGCGGAGGGCCCAGCGAATTAAAGCGGCTGGGAAGCACCAGTACGGCGTCGCGCGCAACGGCGGCGCAAACGTGTTGGTGAAGAGCTTGCAGGTCCTCGCCGAAGCCCGCCCGCACGCGACATCCATCAAAGTGGATGTCAAGGCGGCTTTCCAAAGGATGCGCCGTGGCCCCGGCCTCGAAGCCATGGACGAGGCTGTCCCTGAGGTGGCGGCGGCCCTAAGGACCTGGCACCCGGGCCCGACGACCGATTCGCAATGCCAGCGCTGGTTTGACCAGGGCGGCACGTTGTCTCAGGCAGGCTTCGCTGTCGGGCAGCGGCGCGCCTTCGAGCATCTCCCCCACCGGATGCAGCAACTGGATCTGGGAGTCCTCCTACCCCGACGACACCTATCTGGCGGTGCGGGCGGACCTCGCCGCCCCAGCGGTGGCCGGCCTGCGAGAGCTGTTCGCGCCCCTGGGACTCGACTTGAACGACGACAAGTTTCGCTTCCGGCGGGGATCTGGACTGTCCAACCTGAGCTCCCGTACGCGGCCGCGCTCCCAGTCCTCGACACACAGCTCAGGGCCCCCAGAGATGCTGACGGCGCGGCGCTACCGCTCGGCAGGCAGGGCTGCGGGCTGGACGTGGCCACGGCGCGCCTCAGGAGGCTGTGGGCCAGCTTCGAGAGACTGCTGACATGACGCCTTCAGAGGCAGGCTGCGGCGGCGGCCCTGTTTAACACCCACGCCGGCAACGCCAGCCAGCACCACCTGCAGCCGGCCCTGGCTCCGGGAGAACAGACCTTCCGCTACGACGCCACACTGGGAGGCTGCTGGGAGAGCCTGCTTGGACGGCCGCTCGGCCCGGCGGCGTGCGAGCTGCTGGGCCTGCCAGCCAACTTGGGCGGGGTTGGCGCGCATGAGCGGCCACGAGGCGCGCGGCGGCATGCTGGGCGGCGTGGACGCAAGCGACCGCGGAGGTCCAGCACGGCCTTGGCGACTCTGGTGTTTCCACTCTCGGAGACATGCTGGCGGCCCTACCGCGGGCAGCGGCCGTGCTCGAGGCGACGCGGGCTGAGCTGGCGACACAGGGCGCCGACCCCGAGCGGGCTGCGCCCCTTGAGGAATTGCTGGGCCAATTTTCTAATCAGAAGACCTTGGATGCGATGGTGCATAAGAAAACCCACGCTGCTGCGAAGCATCGGATCCACCACTGCAGCCAGGCGGCGCTGCTTTCCGCCGGGGGGGCCAGGGGGTGAAGCTTGCTTGAAGTACCCCACGGAGCTGGCGTGCACGCTGGAAGACCCTCACTGGCAGACGGCAACCCGAAGCCGCGCCCAGCTGCCGCGGCCCGAGGGCGCCGCCGACGAGCTCGCGAGGGTTGCGACGGCTTGCCAAAACCTAGCAGCAGGCGGGGCGCCATGCCAGGCGCCGCTGGACGAGGCTGGGTTCCACGCCGCAGCTTGTCAGCCTGGTGGCGGCGTCGTCAAGCGGCACAGCGGAGTGGCATGCGCCGCGGGCAGCCTCGCTGGCAGGTGGACCCACTGCGCGCCGCTCTACGAGCAGCGAATGGCCACCTGGGACAGGGCCCGCGAGCCGCGGCCGGGGCAGCCAGCGGTCCCAGAGCGGGCCATCCTGGAACGACGTCGACGGCAGGCGGCGGTTAGACGCGACCGTCCGCCACACAGCGGCTGGCGACGAGCCCGCTGCGCGCGCCGCGGCGCGGCGCCCTAGGGCGAAGCGGCACGCTGGGCCGAGCGCGCCAAGCGCACGCGCTACCCCAGCGAACGGCTGACCGCTTTCGCTTTGGAAATGGGGGGCCGCCTCGGCGAACAAGCACAGGACTGGCTCTTGAGCCGCGTCCGGGAACTCCTGGAGGATGCGCAACAAGAGGAGCTGGCGCGCGCCTACCACCTGTTCAGCTGCGCGCTGCAGCGCGAGCTGGCGCAGCAGCTCCGCCGCGCGGCAGGGCTGCGCTAAACCCGCGGCGGGCGCGGCCTGGGGCAGCTGGGCGCAAGGCGGCTGCTGCGCGGGGCCAGGCTGATGCGCGAGGTGGCGTTGCGTTGCTAGGACGCCGGGCTGCCGGGTTGGGCGGAGCGCAGGGCCGCGGCCAGCGGCACCCGGCACGCGACGGGGGTTGCGCGCGGGCGGCGGCCGGGGGGGGCGCGATCCGGCGCAGGGCTGCCGCCCAGCAGGGCGACCAGTCCGATGCTGGCGGGACAACATAAGGCGTTTTGCGGAGCACGCGGGCGCTCACATTGTCTTGCCTGTCGCCACAGTGCTCCAGGGTACGCTCTGTCTGACGGCCCTGGCCAGCAAACCCCTCCTTTTGGGAGTGGCCGTTGTCTTTGGCAGCGGGCCACCCCTGGGGATCCTGTTTGGGGGGCGGTGGAGGCATTTGCCGGTTCCCGATCATTGCACGCCCGCCACGCGACAGACCCGCGCACGCCGCCGGGGGAGGAGGAGGAGGAGGAGGAGGAGGAGGAGGAGGAAGAGGAGGAGGACGAGGAAAAGGAGAAGAGGAGGAGGAGGAGGAGGTAGACGAGGACGACGACGACGACGACGACGACGACGACGACGACGACGACGACGACGACGACGACGACGACGACGACGACGGCGAGGACGACGACGACAACGAGAACGACGAGGACGACAAGGGCGAGGAGGAGGAAGAGGAGGAACAAGAGGAGGAGGAAAAGGAGGAGGAGGAGGAGGAGAGGGAGGGAGGAGGCAGGAGGCAGGAGGAGAAGGAGAGAGGACGACGAGGACGACGAGGACGAGGACGAAGACGAGGAGGAGGAGGAAGAAGAGGAGGAGGAAGAGGAAAGGAAAAGGCGGAGGAAGAGGAGGAGGGAGGAGGCAGGAGGGAGGAGGCAGGAAAACGGAGAAAGGAGGGGAGGGAGGAGGAGGAGGAGGGAGGAGGGGGAGAGAGGAGGGGAGGAGGGAGGAGGGAGGAGGGAGGGGGAGGAGGGAGGAGGGAGGAGGGAGGAGGGAGGAGGGAGGAGGAGGGAGGGAGGAGGAGGAGGGCGGGGAGGAGGAGGCGGAGGAGGAGGAGGAGGAGGAGGAGGAGGAGGAGGAGGGGGAGGAGGAGGGGGAGGGGAGGGGGAGGGGGGGAGGAGGAGGAGGAGGAGGAGGAGGAGGAGGAGGAGGAGGAGGAGGAGGAGGAGGAGGAGGAGGAGTTGGATGGGTGGATGGATGGAGGTCCCCCCAGCGAGGCAGCATGTTGAGGTTGCCGGCATGGCCTCTTCAGTAGGGAGCTGCTGGGCCCAATGGGCGCCCAGCAGCAGCACAGCAGCATCGGCCCAAGGAGAAGCGCGCCCTCTCGACAGGGCTCGAGGGGGAGGGCAGGAGGTCCATAGTACCGACATGCCGAACTCCGACTCGAACGCCCCAATCTCCTGGTGGAGAAGGGCACGCGACATCCCAGAAGGCAAACGCAGAGAGATGGGGGCCTCCTAGGGAAGGGGCGAGCACGGCCCTCCGGCAGGAGTCCTCGCACGATCTCGACCCCACCCCACGCCAACACGCGGCGCACGCGAGAGGCCCTGGGGCAGAGGGAGAGAGGGTGGGACCCCAAGCCCAAAAGGCCACGCACGCACGCCCGCTCACCCGTGGACGGAGCTCCGCGCCTGGCCCAGCCCAGGCCCAGCCCTCCCAGCAACAGCCCGCCCAGTCACGCGCAGTCCGGGCGAGGGGGGGGCAGGAGAGGGGGCGTGGGCAGGGAGGGAGGAGAGAACGGGGATTTCATCGCCGGCGAGGCTGGAGTTCAGACCCGGCCTCAGGATCCGCGGGGAAGCCAGAGAAGTGGCCGATCCATCCCCCAGGGCCTCCGAGGCAGAAGCATCCGCGCACTGCCAGCAGCAGTCAGGCGGGACGCCCCCTCCCCGAGGCAGACGACTCCACACCCACGAAGGCCCCAAAGCTTCAGGGACCTCCTAAGCCTCCGGAGATCCCTGGGGGCCTCTGCAGGCTTCCGATAGATTCTTCCGTGGGCCCGCGAGGTCCGCCGGAAGTGGGAGGAGGAGGAGGAGGAGGAGGAGGAGGAGAAGGAGGTGGAGGGGAGGAGGATGGGGAGGAGAAGGAGGTGGAAGGGGAGGAGGAGGACCAGTGCAAACCCATGACTAATCAACGATGTTGGAATCAACCTTCCCGTCAGGCTCCCTCGTCACAGACCCCTACAAGGATCTATTTCCACTCAGGGAACTGCCCCGTTGGGAGACAACCGTTCGAAGATCTTGAAGCGTGCCAAAACACCATTCCAGGGACTCCAGCGCCACGAATCAATTTGACTGTTGCGTCTTGACGACCCTGAATCGTTCCAGAACACCAGTCTTGGGACTTCAACACC